ATTTTATCAGATAGAAGATACAGGCAGGGATTATGAAGACTGAACATGTAAGCTCTAAGGAGCAACTTGCAGACATATTAACCAAAGGACTATCCAGATTGCAACATGAGTTTTTAGTAGGCAAGCTTGGTGTGTTGATAGGGGTTACTTGATGTAATACATAAGGACAATTAATGGTAGTTAAGGGATTAGCCAAGTTAGTTATGAAAGATGTTAATTCTTCTGTTAGTCGGTTAGGAGTCAGTATGTGTGCATATATAAGCACTGTTCCATTGTAAATGTACAGTTGAGTTTTTCTGCATTACTACTGAAATAATATTCTTCTTCTTCTTCAATGTCTCTCTGATTAGCTCATCTATGGTATGCTAGGATTGTGTAGTTGTTCATAATTCAACATTAAACACTTATATTGTTCAAAACATATATCTATTAAACACAAAACGCTGATGTGGCAACTTAAGTGTACCTTACTTGACATTAGGCGCGTGAACAGGTTCCAAATATCATTTTATTTTTATTTATTTTCTAAGAACTTGTACCTTTTTTTGTTTTATTGACATTTGGCATTAAAATAATTAAAATTATTTTTTATTTAAAATTAATTTCTTGGTAAACCCAAGAAATCAACCCCGCCCTCTTTTTCAGCCATCGTCTTCTTCGTCCATACTCTCTGTTTTTTTTTAAAACTTTGTTATTTCATTTATTTTCATTCTTTATGCAATTTGAATCTACTAATTAATTTGATTTTGCAATAAGAAAGAAGATTTTCAGGCATTGAAGTATTTAAGAAAGTTAGTCAGACTCTGTTCATCTATATTTCTAGCCACTTTGAACCGACATCATCACACAAATTAAAATATAAGTTAATTAAGCTTATTGACAATGATATCTTAAAATTTCATAGAATTAATTTGAGTATTCTCGATTTCTTATCGCCGTTAATTTCAAAATGATTCACATTGATTTATGATTCATTGGCATCTCAAAAATCATTTTGCTAAGCAACGGATTATTCACGAATAGATTTAATCCCCATAATTTATAGGAATAATAAGAAGAAAAACAAAAAGTAATCTGCCAAAGGAGTTGAGAACGGCGAGTGCCTAAGAAAGAAGAACGGGCAAAAGTTTTAGTAGGTGCGGTTGTAATATTTAGGGTTGAAAACAGTACTTATTTTTTTATCTTTCAAAATTATAAAATAATTTTTTATAGTTAGATTGGGCAATAGGCCATGGGCAAGGTGTCATAATTTTATTCTTAACTATTTTAAGCTACGGCGTGTGTGTTACACGCACGGGGTTTTATGTATTGATTATCATTTAGTGTCTAATAAATATATATTTGTTAATATTAAAGTGTCTAATAGGTACTAGCCTTAGTAGAGGTGTCTAAGTGAATTATGCGGACAACTTTAAGGGGCCATGAATGACTTAAGCCTTAATTTTAAGAAAAAATGTTACATCAAATGGTCATTCATTCAATATAATGAAACTACTGTCTAGTGAAGTAATTCATTTTACCTACAAAGTAACAACTGATAAAAAGCCACTTGAACGATAGAATAGTTTGCAATTTGTACCATTAATATACGTGCTTTTTTTTTTATTCTTTCTAATGCTTTGCACCTTAGATTCTCCTTTATTCTTCTTTATAAATTATAACTAATTTTATTTTTTATAATAAATTGTGAACTATGATCTTTAACCATAAAAATATTACACCTACAAAGCATACAAAGGAAGCAACCACCATCTAGGAAAGGTGCTAGTTTCTTGAGCCTCCAACAAAAACCAAGAAAACTACTCAGCAAACATAAACAAATTGCTATAACCTTTTTATTTTACTGTATTTAAAATTCAAAAAGCTTGACTAATTAATTAACGGGGGGAGTCAAAATTGAGTGTGATGTGTGAACAACAACCATCATGTTCCCCTACCCTCTTATTTCCTTGCTTCTTTGGCCGATCTCTACCCAATTCGGGTGGCCGGACATTAAACCACTGACGTGTGCTCAATGGAATAGTAGAGAGCGTAGTTAATTTGAGAAATTGTTAAGTGGTAAAGTGAAAAGTGATGCCAAATTTAGATGACACTTATTAAGTATTTGACCTATTTTATATTAAAATCTTATAAACTTAGATGTCATTTTGCCATAGTTTGACGCCTAAAAGCATAACCAAAACTGTATCATTTTGCCATAGCGCATAGTATCCGCACCTTTTGTCGAGTATTATTATTTTTAATTTTATCTAATTTTGTATGACCTAACATCCACGTTTCCGCTACAATTATCTTATGAATATGTTAAACTTTAGAAACCCAGCATTTACTTCTAAATACCATTGCTGGGTTAACAATTGTCCTATAGACAATTGACTTAACTTTCAATTTGATAAACTACCGTACATTCTCCTGTGATTTAATTTTCTAAATTAGAGTGGCATTAATTTGTTTTCAATGTAACTAAACAGTATAAATAAAAGTAATACAGTGAAAAGCGTAGCAACACCAATATCTTCACATGACATGTGTCTCTTACATAATCCTGTAATACATTTTTACTTACTAACCTCCATCATTTCAACGAGTGAATATTGCTCCTCTCAGTGTTTTATTTAGTGCTAAACATTCTTATAAACCCCAAAACCAAATTATAGCATGTAAGTCCTTTAGCTGACAATAACTTCTAATTATAATATATCAAGAGCTTCTCTGTAGGGATATTGGGTATAAAGAGAGCCTCTGCCGTGAGATCTCGAGAACATTTCAAAACAGAACATGAAGAGATTCAACAAAGAAAAGAAGAGACCCAAACAAGCAAGAGTAACTGTCTATGAAACCCCTGAGGATTCTAGTTACAAAGTAAATTCAATAACATAAAGGATCTTCTGTTGGGAAATTGCATCCTGGTCCTGAGTGAACGGCAGTGTATAATGCATGGACATCAAATTGCTTGCCACACAAGCCATAATAACATTTCAATCCTTTTATAAGAGTTATGTCCTGACCATCTTGTTGGTATTTCAACTATTCCACCCGGTTCTGCTACCTCCTACCAGCACAATTATATGGACCTGCTGCAAACAAAGATTTAGCCAGATGGGAAGGTAACACCTTGTCTCTGCGGAGTTTGAACCCTTCCAACCTTTGGGTTTAGAATCTCTCCTTTTGCAAATGAACAAAGTAAAGGTTATAACACTCAGTTCAGGGTTATAACCTCATAAATGTGCAGTTAGAATATATCTTTCTATTCACAAAGTAAATGAACATATTCATAGGAATGGATAGTCAATTCCCAGGATTCCAGAGGGAGGTTGTCTATTTTTAGAAGTACTCCCTCCGTCCCAATGTATATGATTTAGTTTAACTGGCACGGAGTTTAAGAAGAAAGATAAGACCTTTAAAACTTGTGGTCTAAAATAAGTCAGATGTTTGTGTGACTATAAATCATTTTATCAAGGCTAAAATGAACATTTAAAGTCAAATTGTTACTCCCTCTATCCCAATTTATGAAACATTGCGACTCATTTTCTTCTTTAGTAAATCCAAAAAAGAATGACAGATTTATATATTTAGTAACAATTTAACTTTAAAATATCCATTTTACCCTTAGTAAAATGACTAATAACCACACAAACATTTATGACTTACTTTAGACCACAAGTTTCAAAAGTCTTTCTATCAAACTACATCACATAAATTGAGAAGGAGGGAGTACTAAACATAGAATTGTGTCAATTCTTTTTGAGACGGATTAAAGAAGAAAGTGAGTCATATAAAGTGGAGCAGATGGAGTAGTACCTTTTGAGTGGCAGTTCAAAACATAAAACAATGTCATTAGCAAATACAACACACTCAAGTTCAGTGTTATAAACCCTAAATGTGTGTTGTATTTCTGATCTCCTTTTTTTGTCTAGTAACCAAGAAATCCCCAAGGGCTAGGAGCGCACGGTTCAAACCCCAATGGTAATAGGCCAGTTCACCCTCTACTCCAATTCAAGACCAGGGTTATATTTGTGGTAGGTTTCAAACGCGTGAGTACTGAGTGCGTCTAGCATAGGGGTAGAAAAATCAAACTCAATTAAGTTTGGCGGGTTATTGATCTGCCCATTTATTAGCTCAACCAATTTCATATGTAGCCCAAATTAACTCATGAGAAATTTTGCCAATTTTTTGTAAAGATCTTTTAAATTTTGATGTCATATATAGCCATAATAAATTACTTTTTCTTATTAGATACTAAAAAGTTTTAAAAGAACAAATAAAACAATTAAAACTTAGTAAAGATTGGGCGGGTCGGATTATGACTCATTACCTGACCCATTTTAACCCAAGCAAATTTTTTGCTTGGTTGGGTTGGGTCTTGACCCGTTTTGACCGCCTCAAATTTAACCTAACCCGTCCAATTGTCATCCCTAATCTAACACACACAGCATGCTGCACTCTTACAACTAGACCAAAGTCCTGGGGATAATTGTAAGTAGCAGCGTCAAGTTGTGCCAGTGCAGACAATTATTTGGGTGACTGTACCGTGTCACATAACACCCTTCACTTTAGTTTCTTGAGGAAGCCCACAAATACCAAGGAATTTGATTCTGCTATATCAGTTAACAAGGAGAGTCACATGTAGATATCAGATATCTGAATGTCTATAATCAACCTGAATGAAGTAGCCTAACTTATCTAACCCAGTCATGTATACCATAATTTATCTGGACACAACAAATTCTGCAATTGTTGGTCATCCTTTCCCCCATAAAGTTCGAAGATGGGTGATGCGCATAGCCTTAGTCATCTGACATCAAACTTTTCTGATATCAATAGATGAGAAATTGCTTTTAATGTCTACACTTATCTTAGCATTTTGAATACAACCAACCTGTAAAAACTTGCATCCCAGCTTTAGTCCAATTTGGGAGGAGAATCTTGATGATGATTACAGAAAAGGCAGTAAAAGGGAATGTTCATTACCTATGAGAAAAAGTTTCATGAAAGAAATACACATGGGCCTTCCATTCAAAAATATATAGCAACTCCTAATATAATATATTTTTGAAAGAAAAGACCATGCATATTGCTATCATGAAAATTATACTTTTTCTAACATAGGCAAGCAAGCATTTGCTCAAGATTCACACTCCCAAAACCAAAATTGGTCTTGCAATTATTCTTCACGTTGGGGTGGTAGTCTTTGAATACAAGATAATCATTTTTGTGTCATATCAGATGGATAAGGAACAAAACAAAAATTTATAGGCACCATGCAACGTTGACCTTCCTTTCATGTTTGGACGACACAGCCAATTCTAGTTATTATTCATCTAATTTCTGCATTGCAAACTTCATTCACCAGAATATTTTCTGAACCAGTATATATGAGACACCCTATCTAATATTTATCAATTACTTCTACAAAATCACCAATTACCAATGGAGACGAGAAAATATAGCTTATATGTATGCTACTTTAAGGTAGCAGCTTTGCCAGACAACTGAAGCCCGAGAAAAAGGTAATATGAATTTATTCTACCTACACCAAAGTGTGAAGAGGAAACACTTGAAACCCTAAACTGACAACTTCATCACTCAACTAGACCATCACCTCAGCTTATGCATATTTACCCTAAGTGATCCTAAAGAGTAAAGTTTGGGTGCAAATTCAAGCTCAAGTTTTATCTACACTTGTTTAGTTCAAGCCTATTGGGCATTTAAAGTAATTCTCAAAATTTACTGGAGTTCTTAAAGTAATCCTCTCTAACATACTTCTTTTTGGGATAACCGAGAATCTCCCCCGTGAGTTAGCTGGCCAAACCCCAGTTGGCCAACAGGTTTGAAACTCGGTAGAGTATGAGCCCATCACTCCAATCTCAAATACCACGCTTCGTGCCAGTGGCAGGAAGTGAACTCGTGATGTGCTCCCAATCAACATATACCAAGCCATGCCTTTTAGTCTTGTGGTGATAAACTTGCCATTTGGAAAGTTGGAATTAAAGAGTTTCTAAAAGGGAAAGATGTATTCTTTTTTAAACGGACTCAAAAGAAAAGTAGGACAAATAAATTGAAACAGAGGGAGTATAAAACAAAGATATTTACTATTTATTTTTTGATAAAGCAAAGACACTTACAATTTGCTTAGGTTACCATACTTTTATATGAAAATGCTATGAGAAAGGGAGTATCAACAGCATGATTAGAGTGAAACCAGCACCAATCAAAGTTTATATGTTTATGAGATAGCCAACACCAGAGGCAACTAAGAAAGTTCCCCAAACAATATGCCCATCTTTTTTCTTCAAACATGTGCTTGGCAAGGATTGACAATAAAAGAAAAGGGAGACCACCTCTTGAATTGCTATGTGAAACTATAATTATTATACAATGCAAACTTGAAATGTGTTTGGGAAGGATTGACAATAAAAGAAAAGGGAGAAACCACCTCTTGGAACTTATAAATAAATTGTTATGCAATGAAAACTTGACATGTGCTTGGATTATTACCTCTCTCAAAAACAAAGCTTGACATGTTCCTGGGAAAGATTGACAATAAAAGAAAATGGAGAAACCACCTCTTTAATCACCATATGAAACTCATAAAGTATTATGCAATGAAAACTTGACATGTGCTTGGATTATTACCTCTCTCAAAAACAAGCTTGACATGTTCCTGGGAAAGATTGACAATAAAAGAAAATGGAGAAACCACCTCTTTAATCACCATATGAAACTCATAAAGTATTATGCAATGAAAACTTGACATGTGCTTGGATTATTACCTTTCTCAAAAACAAAGCTTGACATGTTCTTGGGAAGAATTGATAATAAAAGAAAACAGAGAAACCACCTCTTTAATCGCCATATGAAACTTATAAAGTATTATACAATTAAAACTTTGTTGGAAATCCTTTTGAGATACTAGAATCATTTTTCCAACAAACTTGACATGTGTTTGGATTGTTACATTTCTCAAAAGCAAAGCTTGACATGTTCTTGGGAAGGATTGACAATAAAAGAAAACGGAGAAACCACCTCTTTAATTGCCATGTGAAAACAATAAATTATTATGCAAAGAAACTTGCAGGGCCCATATTCAAAAATCAAATGGCAGCAAGCACACAGAAAGGACAATTAAGTAGCAGACAAGATGTTGCTTAGTCATGAATTTCCAGATAAGTGTTACTTAATCATGAAAATATATTACCCCTGAAAATTGACATTATACACTGATATAAACTTCAAAATTAAAAAGTGCATTTGAAATAATTTCCCCAGCCGCTAAGAATGGTAAATTTTTTTATAAACAATTGAAAACTAAAACACTAAACTGAAGTAGAAAAAGAAAAATGCTAAAACTACGATAGATGTAGTAGAAAAGTTAAAGTTGAGTACTAACTTTATGTGTGAGGGAGAAGTGTCAAGCCAAACAGCCAAACAGGAGATGCTCGTAGGACTAGCTTGTTAACTCCATCAAGCATATGTTTAACCATCACCAAAATTGAAATTACATGCCTGCACATGCTCATTTTCTTTATCAACATACTTGGACCAAAGAGGCCGAATAATTGCATTATTGAGCCATGGTTTCATATTCCCATTGAAGTGGACCACAGCAGCATTGTCGATATCATCCACGTTGATGATTGGATTAAAGCGAGGGTCCAATACATGCCAAGACCTATCAAGTACCTTTGTTGTGGAGTAAAATGTGATCAAACCTGGAGGCAATGTTCCCAATTTCCATAATTTCCGATTTTCATTCTGCAAAATATTAGCAGCTATATTAGTCAGAATGAATAAACTTGTAGTTAAAGTAGTCCTGGAACAATTTACTTAAACCCAGCGACGACGAAATAGGACAATGTGGCTTTTAGCAATACAAAACCTAGAGAAATATACTTGCAGTTAAAGTAATCCTGGAACAAGTTACTTATACCCAGTTTAGAAATAGGACAATGTGACTTTTAGCAATACAAAACCTAGAGTGTAATCACACACACTATATGGAGAAGCAGAAGACATCTGCAAGCATAAATGGGGGAGATATATTTGCTTGATACAGAACACTATGACTGCAACTAAATCTAGAAACTAACATATTCAAAGAAGCTAACTGCATCTCACCATGTTCTGCCAGTAATGGTACTCTTCAGTGGACTTCTCCCTCCTCCAAGCATCTAAGTCAAAAAATTCATTCCAAAAGCCCATGCACATGCTTTGGGGTTAAACTTGTTTTTGATCAATGGATGTGAGAAATTCATGAACTGTCCATATCGATAGAATGACCCAAAGAATGTCTCTACAGCTCCCATCCATATCTATTTTCCATAGGCCTGTCAGATCTCTCTGAACAGCTACATCATCACCCAAGAATAAAATCCTGTGCAGATTGGGATACATTTCGGGCAAATAGAACATAAGGTGGTTCAATATTGACAGATATACGGGGTTCCTGAATTTCTTGGTTGCATGCATCTTTGCAGATTGAAGTTGCTTAAGTAGTTGAAGAACTTAAAATCTTCAACAACCTTCACTTCAATGTGAGCTCCACTGTAATCTTTCATCTTGAACATAACTTGCATAGCCCAAAAATTCACTTTATCAGTCACAACATGAAACACGTGCAGTGATGGATTTTTTGAATTCTGTACAGCTGAGTTCACAACAACTGAAGCAGCAAGCACATTATCAGAGAAAATTGCATAATGATAAAGCTTAGGATCCTCAAACTCCGATGGAGTAGGGTTCCCATCATCTATGTATTTCTCCGAATGTGCAATTCGTTCTTCCATTAACCTCATTGACAAACAATGCATGCTCTCTGGAATAGACTTTGCAGCTATCCAAGCACCTTGCTTCCTTGCCTGGGTTAATTGCTCCATGAGTGCAAAAACAGTGTCTTTTACCCTTGAGTTAAAAGGATCCGATTTTAAGCCTAGAATGGACCTATTATTAGATTCAACTCCGTACAAATCACCCTATTTATACAAAAATCATGGAATTAATACATAAAAAGGCACAAATAAAGGCATAGAAGATTGAACAACAAGGGATAAGACTTACTAGACGATGATGAGAAAGATTGCAGGGGGAGACGTAGAGAAAAGGGAGGGATAATAAAAGGAAAAAGGCAACCGTGACAAAAATGGTGAATACAGTGCTTGAATGGCCGATTCTCCGAATGGAGCTCTGAAGATCCATTGAAACTGGCCGGAGTTGAGCAGTTCTGAGAAGCACCGATTATATTAAACTGACAGGGAAGATGCAACAATAAGAGAGTGGATTCCGCAGCAATCGGTTCCGCAGACCACATTATTGTTATTCATTTCATTTACTTGTTAATTCTTGTGCTTAGCCACTCATTTCTAGTTTTCAACTTATCTTTTATTTTAAACTTGCTACTTATCTGTTACCACATTTGAAGTAAAAAAAAAAAAAATTACCTTTTATCTTAAATTGAGTTTGTTTGGATTGACTTAAAAGTTTGATCAAATTTACTTTAATTCATTTTTAGTTTTTGGGAGTGTTCAAAATTAAAATAAATTAAAAATGACTATAAAAAGTTAAAAAACAAAAGTAGGACTCTCATTACTTTTTATTTTTTGACTTAGATCTTGTTTGGTTTGACTTAAAAGTTGGTCGAACCTACTTTGAAGTCATTTGTAGCTTTTGGAAATGTTTGGCAAAGTCAAAAATAATTTTATTTTAAAAAAAAAAAGTTTAAAATGACTTTTAAAAAGTTAAAAACTTAAAGTGGGTCTCCCCCTACTTTTTTTTTTTCTTAAAAATTACTCTTTTTAAGTCAATCCAAACGGGCTCTTACTACTTTTATTTGTTACTACATTTGAAGTAATCTTTTTTTAGCGTATGCAATTACTTTTAAAATTTAAACATGTTAATATATTAATATGATTATAAGTCCAAGACGTTGGTACACTTGCACTCCACAAAAAGAAAAACGAAGAAAGATACAAGTAGGGTCAATACAGGGCAGCACGTACTGAGTAGATATTATTGGTCGACTCAAAATAGAAATTAATATGCATAAAGTATAACAGGAAATCAACTATAACCAGAGGCGGATCCAGGATTCGGAGGCTAGGGGTGCCATGTCTTCTAAATGGTAAACGGGTCGGTTTCTTCATTTTAGGTTATGATTCGGGTTATTTAGTTTTTTTCGATTTCTATAAATACATTGATCAAATATACATATTTAGTAAAAAAAAATTCTTTTAAATATTCTAATATTAAAGATATACACCTAAATAGTTTGTTTTTTTTTTATATTTTTTAGGAATAAGAGAGCTTATTCTCTATAACTTTGAGAAAACAAGAGATTTTTCACCTTAAAAATTCAAATTTGTAAACATCATCTATTATCATGTAGTTGAGAAAAAAAATAAAAGTTATAGCTTCAATCCAATTATCTCCACTTAGTGTGACGTTAAAGATTGAAAGAACTTTTAAATTCAAAAGTTTTAACATGATTATATACATCACTTTAAAAGCTTTTTCAAAAAAAAAACTATTTAAATATATTTTTATTAATATTCTATGTGACGTTCAAAATTTAATATTAATCTAGAATTAATATAGAATATCACACAACACTCGTATCAATTAAAGATAAGTAAATACGTAAAGAATAGAAAATAAAGGAACTAATTGAGGGGGACGAGAAACTGAAGCAACGACAAAAAAAAGAGGGAAAAAAAAAGGAAGAGCTGAAAGCCCTCGCACAAGCAAAGGGATAAAAAAATCTAGTGTGCTGTCACAGAGATTCGAACCCTCGATGCTCACTTTAAAAAATGCGCCCTTTGCTAGTTGCACCATTCAACGTATTGGTAACTGGGTGGCAAATCTACTATATATTCAACTTTTTATACTTATACACATTTATATACAAAGTTTTAACCGAGGCCACTGGGTGCCGTGGCACCCCCACCCATAAGGCTAGATCTCCCCCTGACTATAACACTTAGCCAATGGCAAACAACAAGCAACATGTACCAGTGATGACAATAATGAAGCAAGTATATAATTACTCAACACTATCAAGAACACACACGAGGACTTAGGCCTCCGCACCACACTCTTTTGGGAATGGGTCTTTGAGATTGAGTATGTTAAGCCAATTTAATATGTTTTTCTTTAATATTATCGTGCCAGAACGTGACACCCAATCTAATAATATTGTGCCGACTCGTGGCACCCGATCTAATAATATAGTTAATTCATCATTCTTTATTATCACTTTCCACTTTATTAATAATATTTCATCAAACCTTTTTTATTCAAGGCATTACTTTGATAGAGTAAGTTCAAGATTATGAATTTTGTGGTCTTTAGATTACAAATCAATCACAATAACATATAAATAATTCAAACCACAACAATTAAGTACATAGAAAATTTCATAGCATTACTCAATGACTATCAATCACTACTAAGAGACTCTCTATTACATAGAACAAACAATAACCTACCTTAATCAGAGAATCGAAGTTAAGTAAACTAATTCACCAATGTTTTTCCTTTCTTCAAAACCTCAGAACGTTCTCAATCTATCAAGTATGCATAATTTGTAAGTACTTGCGCTCAATTCTACAATCAATTTTCTAATCTTTTAACTATGCTTTGTTGCCCACATGTTCTTGTCCTTTTTTATATAGATTCAATAAAATTTAAGACCCAATGAGTCTTTTGATTAAAAAAAATCATATAAATATCATTAGAGTTATGATATTTTGAGGAATTGAGACTTAATTTAAGGTTTGAAATTTTTGCATATATTTGGATGTGAAGAGTTTTTTGATGGATAAAAGAACATTTTAAGTGTAAGAATTCTTTAGAGATATTGTTCTCTTCTTTGGCTGTCTCGAGCCGTTGGTAGCCAGAGTTCGCTGGATTTGGCTTATCACAATATTGAAAAGTGTAAGGTAAAGAGTTGTTGAAAATATCTTTGCAGACAATTGAAAGAAAGACACACAAAAATCAAAAAAGGAAAATGGAACGATCCAAGTCTTTTTCAACGAGCTCTCTTGCTGTCTAAACTCCCCCACTTCCCCGACCTTCTACAGCTCTCAAACGTCATTTCGCTTAATCTTCAAGAAATAGGTATGCTTCTTATCTTGACCATCCGATGTTTTGACTTTGTAATTAGATCTGATCTTTCCTTGAGTAACAAATCGATGGATGTTATCTTCCATTTTGAGTCAACTTGTACCTTTACAACCTACAATCAGTTAATCCTTACCCAAATCTAAGTCTAGGTGGGTTGAATCCAACCAAGGGATTAATACCACCACTTGTTCTTAAATTCGAGTAAACTTTACTGATTTTATGGATTGTGAGAGATTTTGTCAATCAATTATCTCATTAGGTTGCATAACTAGTTATGTCTATCCAATAGCACTATTATGCTCTTTGTTGGACTACGATTGTATTACTAACCCCATTAATGAATATTAGTCTTGCACTGCCTATAACGCTCTTACAGAATATGGTGTAAATTAAAACAAACTTAGATAGACACTTGAATGTGATTACCTTCTTAGTCCTGATTTTATACCACACGATACACCTCAAAGCTCTCACCAGGTGCGTGGTATATTGACCAAACAAAGTTACTTCAGACGATCTATAGGAACTGCCATATAGTGTTAATCTAACTAGCTTTAAAACTCATCTTGAATCTTTGTAGGTTAACTCACAATTTTAGTAACTTGTAGCATTAGATTGTCTGATTCTCATAATTGAAATATTCTGCTTATCTATGTTGATTATCTTTATGCCTACAATTGGAACCTCTTGAAAATTTGTAAATTCACAGTTTCTTGCAAAACAAAAAATCAGGTTAGCAAAAAAATCAGCAAGAGTATTTCCCTCTCTTAAGGAATGTTGTACTCTTACTGACATCAAATCCTTCAGCCTATTAATAGAGTTGACTTTCAAATCAACACTCCATGGTATCTCCCAATCACCATTTAGCATATGTACCAATGCCAAAGCATCAGACTCTACAATAATGTTAGTATATCCCTTCTCCCAACAATATTGCAAAGCCTCTCTAATAGCTACAACCTCATCAACTAGATTAGTAGAGTCTGGTACTTTCAATCCTCTTGCACCAATTAGTTTTTAAAGAAATTAAGAAAACTTAATTTAAAAAGACTCTAACATATTAAGTCTTTCAAAATTTAGAGAAAATGGGTAAGAGGTTCTCATTTACACTTCAAGAAGGTTTTTAAAGCATTTGAAGTGTCCGCTAATATGCGGTTATCCTACGACTTAGATTAAATATTTGACTATTTTTTGAAAAAGGATTTAACATAAAAAATAATAATTTACAATATTTGATTAGCTTTGAGAAAATAATTAAATAAATGACACATTTTATTTTATTTTATTTTTTAGAGAAAGGGGACTAAAATGAAACATTTGAATTAAAATGCAAGTGAATAGAATTTTAACAAAATTAGATTAATTAGAATTTATTTGACTCATTTTTTAAAATATGATTTAAACCAAATTGGTTAATTTAAGCATGAAAGTTTGACTAACCATTTTGAGAAAATGACTAAGTAAGTATTTTTAAATTAATTGAAAAAAAAAGGGAAAAATACATCATTACCCCATTAAACTAAGACCTGTTTTTTAAAAAGACACCTGAACTTTGCGGGGGGTCCTATTAACCCCCTCTTCTTATGTAGAATGAATTTATTATCCCATTACTTGCCTATGTGGCATGTAGAGTGTAGTTCACTCTCTGATAGCGAGTGAGCTGAGTCAAAACGTAAATATATATTTATCTAAGTATTTATTTAATTAGAAATGTTCTTTTTTTCTTTTATTTATTTTATTGTACTTTCTCCATTTTTTTTATTTTTTTTTGCTATCTTCTTCCCCAAAACTCAAAAGAATCAACTATCTCATCTCTATCTTCTTCAACTTAGAAAACCCATTTACTTCACTCAGTTTTTTTTCCTTGTCTTCTTGCTTCTCTTTGTTCCCTTTTCTTCTTTTGTCCCTTATTTGTTCAAAAATAATAATAATTGTGAACCTCCTTTGATAATATTTTTTTTTTAAAATGTAGTTCTTTAGCATCGATTCGAGAGTATTATAGTATTTCATTACCTCCATCATAATGGAGTTCCGCTGCATAATTGTTTTAATATTGGAAAGAAGATGATAGATTGAAGGTGATTATTAATTTTCAATTTATAATTTATTAGTAATTTTATTTTGATTTAATAATGATTTGATGAGATTTTAATAATGGCGTGATGAAGGCTACTCCATTGGCGGCGATGGTGGCCAAGTCGAGGACTTGCAGTGATGGCGGCTGGCTAGATGGAAGGCTGCAACAACGAAAAAGAGCGATAAAGAAAGAAGAAGTAAGAGAAAAAAAATGAAGCTAATAAATTAAGAAAACCAAAAATGAAAATAAAGATTAAAAATTAAAATTTTACACGTGTCAGATAATAATTGGTGCGTGAGCACACTTTCTTTTTTGCAATTGAGGGTGGCTGAAAAGTGGGATTTTTATAACACTTCAAAATTGTTTAAGGGGGTAATAGGACCCTCGCAAAGTTCAAGTGTCTTTTTAAAAAACAGGTCTTAATTTAATGAGGTAATTATGTATTTTCTCAAAAAAAATTAACATTTTTAAAGCTTATTTGAGAAAAATACTTTAACTTAAAACAATTTTAAAATGAGTAAAAATGTGATTAAGTGAAAAGCATTAAATAACATAACTTTTTAAGAACAAAGAGTTAACTTAATTAAAGATATAAAATAAATAAACACTAAAAATGTATTAAAAGTAAACCAACACAAAGAAAATAACTCATCTTTTGGGGGTCTAAGTAAGTTAATTAATAGTTCTAAAGTTAGAGTTAAATAAAATTAGTCAAGCATAATCAAAACAATTAGAAGAGTAAAAGAGATAAGGAAATTGGGCCCCTTCTTGGGCCAATTTCACTGCAAATTTTTGGGCTTTAACCCAATTCCCCTTTTTGCGTATACACCGGATATATATCAGTGTATATGAGAGTGTATATCAGTTCTTTTCATGTATTTCTTGCTTTCGAACACCTGTATTTCGCCTTAGCCCTGTATTTTTCATTTTTGACCTGTATATTGATGTATGTAGCTGTATGCATCTTGTATACAACCCCTTTTTGGGCTTTTGGGACTTGAGAATTGTAATTTGTTTTCAGATCAGCTTCCCTCATTTCGAAGGCATTTAAGGCTGACTCAATGGAGAAAAATTGAACCTCTATGGCTCATCTCGAGGATGCAAAAGAGAAGGAGTCCACCACGGACTCGGAAAGGTTCATGTAAGGAAAATAAGACGATAAGAATTAGAACGGTAATTTAAACAACTCAAAATCATGAACCAATAATGATGAGAGGCATATTACAAGAAACAACTAATAAACTGTAACAAAATGAATTAGCCTATTAAACTTAAATAACCACAAATAACAAATCATGCTTCATTAATTTAAGGACAAACATAGATGATGGAATCATGTGAAAACTAAAGCATCCTATTTATATTAACATCATAGCAATATGTCAGGATTATTAGACATTATACACAACTATTAACTTCAATACAGAGTACAGTAAAAAAAAAAGGGCAAGCAAGGGTTAAATCAATATTCACAGTAAAGCTGACCACTCTTATCTATAAGCAATTTCATCGAATCAAAACCTAGGACAACATAGAAAACTACACAAAAGGAACATAAAAGTTAAAAATGGCAAATGGGAACAGGCAGAGAACCCAAAGAAATAAGCAAGTTAAGAGGGCATTTTTAACAATTGAAATTGGAAAATACGGTTAACTTGGGGATTCAATAGACAGCACAAAGTGAAAGACCAAGTGTAACATCAAGTTAACCAAATACTACATGGCGTTAAAAAATGATTACGATAACATTGAATTCACATTGACCATTGAACAACATGACAATCAGCAAAAGAGTGACATTTAGCTATATTCGAATGCAAAAAAAGCAACTTTATATTTCCATTAAGGCTGGACGCTGAAAACGTTTAAGAACAACTACATTTTAGCTGAAATAAGCTTACTTCATATAGAGAATATCATCATCACAGTATAGGAGATCATATATGTATAAGAAACCTAAACCGCTAAATCGGAAGTTGTGCAAGCATGAAAATTAAACTAAACATGCATAACGATAAGTTGAGATTCAAACAGATATGAAATGAGAAGTTAAGCAACCCATAAGCTTAGGAGAATATCAAGTTAAAAAAGCATATGCAGTAACCAAGAACAAGATTAGTTTTAGGTTGGACAAAGACGCATTCCGAACCAAAACTAAGAAGATTCACAAATTTAAAAATCATTTTAAAGCAACAACTACTAAAATGGACTCAAAGCTATAACAACACAAGTTGACATGGAACGAACACTCCCACAACTTGAAATAATCAGTTTTGTCAACTCATAATACGAGATAATCGGGAATATACAGCCAACTCCATTATACAAGAGATTTTAGAGATACAACTACCAATGGACTAGTCACAACACTTAGTTTGCAAGTAACAAGAGTAAAAAATGATCTATTTATCAGATTATGGAAATCGAAATCATCTATAGAAGATGATTTCAAACTTCACGATTGAACTGCAACTCTCACAGCCTACAAGATGAGATTAATGGTGAAACAAAAATAAAATAGGAAGAAACCGACTCAGAGCCGAACAGAATCACTAAGATTTTGAGCAAAACAGAACCACACAACAACATGAATAGCGAACAAGTTAAACCACCGATTATTATACCATCATCACATCAGTCTAGCAGGATCACGTAATCAGACAATAAAATTAAACTACTGTTAAATTACGACAAAGAGACTAAAATCATAAAAGGAGTGTTTACCTTTTCAGGGGCAGCGAACTGAGAATAAAAGCAGCCAAAGAAAGCAACAACTTCTTACACCGGTTTAGACTCAAACAACAGACATGGAAATTTGAACAAACCTTCAATCAAAGTCTTTCTCGGAATTTAGAATTCGAGAATAGTGTTTGCAACAAATTTTAAACATATGGAAAATAAATAAACCACACAATAAAATCTGAAGAAACATAACTGTATTGATAAAAATTGCGAGTACAATTCTGTTCCTCCCTAGATTCTACTCTCCTGAGATATTTATCCATGATTCAAGGGTCGTTAGTGGCTTATTTCTCGAACTAGAATGATTTAAATTCGACCTCTAATATTCCATGACTTTTGTGGAATATATGAGATCTTGATCTTTAAAAATACTCTAGAGTTTATGGGATATTTTGAGATGTCTTTAAGGGAATTTAGTACCCTTTATATAGACATGAACTAAGGTTTAGGGTTGAGTAGCCTCCAAGAATTCTAATTGAAACTGAACACACCTTCTAGAGTCTCAATTCGAATTGAACACGTCTTGTAGAGTCCACAAAATTTCAATGTCTACAAATAGCTTCAAGATTTCGTAAGTGTAAAAGATTATTGCCAAAGAACCTAACTCCAAAACCTTTTTTCAAATCACTAAACGTAGAGAAGGAAACAATTGGGCGATTTAGGGGGAAAATCTGTGTTCAAATTTTGAATTCCTTTGCTTCTTTTCAAGGCAAAGGATGGGGTTGTTGTGCAAGCCTGTGACTCCGCGAAAAAGGGGAAAAAAGAGACGTGAGGGCGGCTGTTGTTGACGTCTCAGAGTCGCGTCCTGCTGCTGCTGTTAACGTTTTGGGAAAGTTGAACTCTCTGGGTTCCTTTTGCTGAAGATGAAACGGGCTGGGTCGGATATCTTTGAGGGTGGGGCTGGAAATAGTTTGGAATTTGATGGGGAAAATGGCCCAAAAAATGAAATAAAATTGGATGTAAGGATTGACTAAAATTGTAATTGAGAAAAGGACCAATGAATTGCAATTATAGACAATTGAAGTTAAGGACCTAGTCGAATTGATCAAATTTAGTAAACTCGGCTAGTAGTTAAATAAGATGAATTAGTATGATTAATTAATGAGCTTCTTAATCTTAACGAAATAAAATAAATAACTTAATAAACTAAATAATTTGAAATTATAACCATGATTTAAACTAAACTAATTTAATAAAATAATTACTAAAATAAAATCTTTTTGAGACGATTTTCGAATATTCATAAAATATACTAATTATATACATAATTATGTAAAACATGTATATTATTCAAAAATTATAAAAAGGCGACAAAACTATTTAAAAGTAATTTGCAAACTATTATTATTATTTTTGAAATTTTCTAAAACTAATTATTTTAAATCGCTTGAAATTGAAGAAACTCGATGATTAATTTATATTGTGGAGGGTCAAAATTGGGTGTCAACAGTAGCATAAACAATTCCACTGAAAAGAGATGGAGCCACAATGTTGATGATCCGCGATAAGATGATTGCGTTGCAGGTTTTCCATTGCTCCTGCAATTTCTTCTCGAACGAGCTCCTTTTGCATGTTCCAAGTACGAATCCTAATTTTCTCTTTGCCTGCAGTGCTATGTACATCGATCTTTGCCATAATCCATAGTTCTCAGATCCTTTTAGTTGAATCAGAAATAATACAAATCCAGATCCATCCGATGGTCCTATGAACATGGGATGTTGCTGGTCGATTTTGATTTCCATCATTGTTGCACCTCAACTTCCTTAATAGAAGAAATAGCAACAATGAAGATGAAAGAAATTGAATCAAATCACTTACAAATGCTTCGTCGATCTGCAACCTAAGCTTTGCCGATTGTTAACCTGAAGCATTCTCCCTTAGATGCTTAGAATTGTTATTCTCAGCTCTGATACCATATTGAGACTGAAAAAAAATGAGGAAAAATATCTTCTGTATTGAATGAATGAAACAGTATATGTACAACTACATTTATATACAATACGAATAATCTGTAACTACCTCTAACTACAACTAATCACTGTTAATTAGATAATTAGCTAACTAACTACTAAACATAATTAACTAATGGACAACTGTCATGTACATGTGCAACTCATGTGATCCCTTCAATAGTCTTTCTCTTATGCTTGTTTAGTACCTTCAGTTTTTTTTATCCAATTATAAAATGGAGCAAAAGAGATTATAAGTAATATTGAAAGTTGGTTTCAATGAGGCAAAACAAACACTATGGGGGTAGATAAGAGAGTATTTTGTATTTTTGTTCCTATTATAAGATTGTTAATTATAATTACCATATTTACTAAGTAATTAACAGTTGGTAACATGGCAAACTGAAATTATTTCCTAGAAGAAGTAATTGCTTTTTTTACTCTATGTTCTTTTTATTTTATGTTTTTGAAAGCCGTTTAAAATGGACAAAGGGAGTAACACTACTAAAAAAATTGCAAAAGGAAACCTAAAAAAAGAGACCTCAAAAATAGGTCGCTAAAAAGAGACCTCATGAGGTCGCTATTTGCATCAATAAGTTTTTTTAATTTTTTTTTAACAGGAGAGACCTCGTGAGGTCAATTTTATAAAAAAATCTTCCTAATTAATAATATAAGTGACTTATTTTAATTTTTTATTTTATAGTATGTCTTTGCATAAAATATGTGACCTCACGAGGTCACTATTTGTTAAAATAAAAAATATTAATTGAGGTTTAGATACCTTGTGAGATCTCATTTTATTAGTCAAATTTGTAAAATAATATTTTAAAATAAGAGACCCTCATGAGGTCTCTTATTTTTATTAAATTAAAATAAGAGGGCATTTTTAATTTAGTTCATCTCATTTCCTGCTCTTCACCTAAAAGCTAAAAAAAGCCCTAACTTGTCTCTTCCCCATAGCTTTACAGATGATTAGCCTCCGATTGTCGTCAAGCCTCTCATCAGTTTGAAGTTTTAGTTTTCACCTTCGAAACTCACTCGGTTTGAAGCCAAAGCTTTCATCGTCGATTCAAATTCTCGGTGTCGATTTCTTTCTCTGCAAATAAAGGTGAATCTTTCAATCTTTAAACAAAGTTGTAACTATATTGTTTATTTATTGCAAGCATCCATCAATGCAGGCTCTCTCTTTCAATTTACTGCAAGCATTAGTAGAATTTGTGATTCTCTTTTCACTTTATGAGCATATAATTAACTTTGGGTTTTACTCTTGTTCTATCTTAATGTCCTGTTTTGACTTCTCATGATGATTAACATGAATGCTAGCAAGTTTTGTATCATATAATTTAGAAGAAGATACATGGGTAGTAATATCTAAGAATAAA